TTGACTAGACGGACCTTTGTTGGCAAAATAATGTCTCTGCTTTATAATAAGCTGTCTAGGTTTGTTATAGCTTTTCTTCCAAGGAGCCTTTTAATTTCATGGCTGCACTCACCATCTGCAGTGATTTTGGAGCTAGGGTGACTTGCAAAATCAAATACCATTATGCCAGGGGAACAGAAAACTTGAGTGACATGCTCTGGGCCACACAACTGACCCGTTGGTTCCAATTACCTCCCTGATAAAGCACCAGCTTCTAAATGTGTGCAGTGAAGTGGTCCAGGTCTGCGCCTGTTCACCACTCAGGCCACTGCCCTTGGCTGTGCCTGGACCTCACCTTCCAGGGCTGAAACACTTCCTGGCCTCCAGTGGCAGCAGCCGCTTCCCAACCCTGCACCTAGCTGCTGGTCTCTGCAGCCCGCAGGGGCAGCAATAACAACTAACCATGTATTGGGGCTTGATTTCCATCCACTATCTCATTGCAACCTCATTGCAACCTGTGCCAGAACTATGTTTATTATGCCCATTATAGAGATGAGGGAAATGGGGCTGAGAGAGGGACTCCTTGGGAGTGGGGGCAAGGTTAGGGCCAGGCCCCAGGACCCCTGAAGACCAACCCGTGACTGGGGCTGAGCCTGAAGAATCTTTGTGGAGGATGAAGGGTGAAGGGACTGCTCTATTGAATGGGGAGATCAAGCAGGGAACTTGTGTTTTTCAAGTTTCCCTGTGGGGAGGAGGCTGCTTGCTCCCAGGAATGTCCCTAGAGGCCCGTGTGTCTTGGCCCCTCATCCTGGGCAGCAGTCTGTGCAGGCAGCCCATGCTGTGGCTGCCTTGCTTTCACTGAGACCCTGCTGTGTTCCGACTCCAGGTGGTCTGGTCCCTCCCCCTGGATCCTCTCTCATCGTCGTTTTTTCTTTCTCTCCACGGAAGCCTCTTCTGACTACTTTTTCCTTCTCCTCTTCATCGCTCTCCAGCATGGTCTGTCTGTTTCTCCCTCTTTGTCTTTGTCTCTCTCTCTGCTGACCCCTCACTCCTGGATCCTCACTCCATCTTCTGTACAGTTTTCTCTCTTGTCCACCTGTCTCCTCCTGTGTTCCTCTCCTCTCTCCGTATTACCATCCTGCTCCGTCCTCTTTCCACGCTTCCTGAGTCTCGGGGAACAGGAGGCAGGTGAGAACTAGGGAGGGATCATCTGGGAAGCCTGTGACTCTCCAATCCTTGCCTGGGGACTTGTGTCTCCAGGTTGGAAATTTTATCATTCTTTTTTTGTGACTGATCAGGGAAGAAGAAATGAAAAATACAGAGAGAAAGCGTAGGAACTGGTTTGCAAGCCCAGAACTGTCATAAAACAGGGTTTTATGAATATTTTCTGAAAAATAATTCCTTTTTATGGTGCCATTTAACAGTGGCTGGCCTGGTTTGCCTGGCTTCCTGGCTGCAGCGAATTGCAGCTGGAGGCCCCCAACTCTTCTCGCACCTCCCAGCCCTAACAGGAATCAGCCAGTCCAGGGTGCTATGTCTGCTGCAGCAGTCCGATGTGTGTGTGTGTGTGTGTGTGTGTGTGTGTGTGTGTAACGAAGAGGTCGGGAGAGGGGAGGCTGATTCCTGGACAGCTCCCCAAACCCTCAACTCATAGGAGCCCAAGGTGGGCAGGTCTAAGCTTGTGATTTGTGTCCACTCATAACCCAGACACGGCCAGAGCATTCTGGCTCCAACATCCCTGATTAAGATCGCCCTGGACACCGGCTCCATGGCTGACTCCGAGTCAGTGGATTCCCTAGGGCTCACACTCAGGTAGGTGGTCCTCCTGGCTTCCAGCTCCCCGTTGTTTAACCTCATCACCTCTGCTTCACTCCATGTCAGCTGGAGGGAAAAGCCCCTCCCGTGGTCCCCTCATCCCAAACTGTCACAAGCAATGGAGGCTATACTTGGGATCGGCAGAGCAGGTGGAGTTGGGGTTCTTGCTGCAGCCAGGAAATGACTGCTATCTGCAGGTTTTCTCTCGGTCTAGGAGGTGCTGTGCCTACTTCCCTCTGTTTCTCTATCTTCCCAGCTCATCCTTCCTCTTTCCTTCTCCTCTTGCCATCCATTTCAGAAGCAACATGACAGCATTGCTCCCCTGGTCATAAAGATCCTTTTTCCTCCACCTCCTTCCTACCTCAGGCACCCGCAGAGGAATATCTCCACATGAAAATGGAGGTTGCTATTTCTCAAAGGAATTTTAGTGACTACAATCGGCTCCACTTGCTTTCCTGTAAATAAGGAGGCAGGTCCAGAGAGGGGCGGAGCTTGCCCGCAGCCGTAGTGCTGGCCGCAGCAGGGCCTGCAGCACAGGGCTTGCGTCCCCGATACAGGGTCCATGTGCCACAGGGACACTGTGCCTCTGCAGGGTTGGCTTCAGGGCCCTCGATGCTCAGGGCCAGGAAGGAGGGGCCTCGGGGGACATAGAAAGATGGAGAGGGCCCAGAGGGGGAGAGATCAAAAAGAAGAGTCAGAGTCGGAGGGAGCTAGAGATGGCCAACTAGCCAGCCTTTATCCTGGGGTGGGGATCACTTCTCCATGGAGACTTCCTGTCCCCTTGCACACACCTCCCAGAGGCAGAGGACCCTCTACCTCCTCAGCATTGTGTCCTGGTTCTGGGAAGCTTCCCCAACTCCCTGTAGTTTCCTCCCTGGACCCAGCTCTGATCTTTGTAGCTGTATGGAGAAAGCCTCTTATCTGGGTCACTCTACAGAGAGGTGGGGCTGAGATGGGGTTCTTCCGAATCTAATGATCTATTATCAGAAGGAGCATCTGGTTTCTCCCAGGAAAAGCATGTCAACAGGAGCCTGCCCAGAGCTCAGGGCAGGAGAGGTGGGCAAGGCTCCCAGGAAAGGAGGTGCAAACACATCAGTGTACCAGGTATAAACACTGGGTCTCCCCTCTTGCCACCTTCTGCCATGTGGAGAGCAAGGTGTCAGGGGCTCTGATGAGTCCCTGGTCCCCTTGGTCACTCTTTCCATAGTGTCTGAGACCCCATTCCTGGGCCATAGTTTCTTGAACTGAAGACCACATCCCCCAAGGAAGGACAAGGGCTCACTTTCCCACCGTCTAGGCAGGTAGACGTGTGGCTTCCTTTCCTGAGTACAACCACAGCTCGTGGGGCAGAGAACACATGGTCACAGGCTACAGCTGCGATCTTTACACTATTGATGCCAACTCTAAAGACCATCTCAGTGGGGAAGGGAGTGGGTGGGGAGCAGGAGGCTTCCTATCAGGAGCTCTGTCCAGAGTCAGTGGCTGGGAGAGAGGTCTGGGCTGGCTCCAGGACACAGAAGAGGCATTGGGCCTCAGATGGGACCTAACCTCACCCACTGCCCTGTGAAATGGGGGAGGCACTGCCTCCTTGCTCACCTCACAGGCTGTAGCCAGCACAGCAGAGCTTGAGTAAAGGTTAAGAAAACAGTCCTGGAGCTTAACTACTTGGGTTGCACTCCTGGCTCCAGCATTTATAAGCTGTGTGATTGTGAACAAGTTACTTAACTCTCTCTCTCTCTCTCAGTTATTTCATCTATAAAATAGAGATAAGGAAGAAGAGTTGTGAGAATAAAATAATTTAAGACAGAAATGCTTGGAACACTCTCTGATCATAATAGATGCTCAATAAGCATTTGTTTGTAGTTGCATTGTCACCTTTGTCTCAGGGGCGGGCTGCCCAAGTGCAGTCCACATTATTCTTCATAGGAGCCAGTAAGGACTCATTATCCATGGTCAATGAATTGGCTCTGTTGAAGGCTCTGGGATTTCAAAACTAGAAACTTTGCCCACGCCAAACCTCATGGTGACCTGCCCCCTCTCTGCCACCGAGTCCCAGGGGCCACGCCTCTTCCCTGGTGGATCCTTATAGCATGGTCACCTTGTGCAGAGCCTATCCAGCTAACACTGTAATATATGATATAAAAGCTCTATCATTTACCTGAAGGCTTCCCTCCCGTTCTGCTTCCTCCCCTCCTTCACTGACTGTGTCTTTCTTCCATGAGCACTCACTAGATGTCAGGTCCTGTGCCTTGACAACACAGAGATGACCAACCACGGTGCCGGCCTCAGGAAGTCAGGGGAAGGACAGCCACATGCAGGTCATTTCTGCACAACCTGGCTGCACAGCAAATGGGGTGCTGTGGGACAGAAGGACTGACACGGCTTGAGGATTAAGGGAAGCCTTGTGGAGCAGATACCGCTGGAGCTGGGTTGTGCAGGATGTACAAGAGCGATGAATGAGGGGTAGAGATGCAGAAAGACAAGGAGCACCGGGGGAAAGCGTGTGCAAAGGCAGAGGACGGAGATGAGTAGGGTGAGTTGAAGAAACACGGAGATGACCGGCAACCCTGCAGTGCTAGAAACCAGGAGAGGAATGGGCAAGATGTGAATTTCCTGCTGGGGACATGGGCAGGCTGGAGTTATCAGAGCGCCTTGTGTGACCTCGACTTGTGTACTGGGAACAGTAAAGACGTGGATGAATTTGAAAAAGCCAGGGAGGTTTGTGGTCATTGTTGTGGTTTATAGAGCTCACTTTGGCTGCCGGGGTTGTGGGGTTGGTGGGCGGAGTGGGCCAGAGAGCACACAGCCCTAGTTGGCAGGGGAGAGTGAGGACACCTGGACTGGAGTGGAGCTGAAGGAGGGAGAAAGGTGGGAGTGTTAGTGAAGTTGAATCAGTAGGTGCCGAAGAGTGAGAAGTGAGAGAGGGAGCCCCAAGGGTGAAGACAGGTTCCAGGTGGATTGTTCAGATGAACAAGGCTGGAGAGGCTCCGCGGACCCCACTTGGTGGGTCCTCTCAAGCCACTGGACACCTGCCCAAACACACTCCCAGAACCTGCCTGCATTTTTACATGGAAAATGGGCCCATGCCAGGAACTCTGCACCACCGCCTCAGGTCCTGGCCCTCTGAGCAAAGGTGACTCCCCACACGGTCCCCTGCAGGAGGAGGGGGAGCCATCGGCATGCAGAGACACCATCACACTGAAGTCATCATATCTTTTATTAATATATTATGCTACAAAAATATTTTTGGCAAAATAACATTAATAGCATCTTTCTTTGTTTTCTATTATATTCTTAAAGAACTCTTCAGGATAATTCACAGAGGTGAGAGGAAGAGGTGATTAAAAGCACAACAACAGGAATACCTTTCCAATACATTAAGATCTGAAGCTGTGTCACACAGTGAGAGTCGGGCCGGGATGTCCTGCAATCTCTGAGGCCCAGGAATGGCACAGGGGCTCTGGCTTCCCTTGCTCTGGGCTGGAACATCCCTTGACCAACAGTCACCTGCCGCCCCAGCCACTGGGGGTCCAAGATGGCTGAGAGCCCTGCCAGAAACTTCCTAGACTGAGAGTCTTATTCAAAGTCCACTTTCCCGCAGTGGGACTTGGGATGGAGGGGCCCTTCAAGGCGTGCTACTCTGTCACCTTCCTTGCCTGCCACATGCTCCTGATCCCATGGCAGTCCTCAGGTGCTGGGAGGAAAGCCAAGCCCTGGGCTGGGGACGGGGGATGCCTCACCTTTGTGGAGCCCCAAGATTGCACGTGGCATTCCCCAAGCAGGAAACGAAGTCTCCATTTGACAGATAAGGAGGTGGAGGCTCAGAGAGGGGCAGGGACTTGCCCAAGGTCACTCAGCAAAGTGAAGGAGTATCTAGGCTATCTCTGGCAAGGAAAAGCCTACACTTGGAGAAAGAGCAGGGCGAGCTGAAAGGCTTCCCCAGTGGCTCATTGGTAGAGTCTGCCAGTGATGCAGGAAACGCAGGGGACATAGGTTCGATCTCTGGGTCAGGAAGATCCCCTGGAGGAGGAAATGGCAACCCACTCCAGTATTCCTGCTTGGAAAATCTCATGGACAGAGGAAGCTTGCGGGCCACTGTCTAAAAGGTTGCAGAGAGTCAGACACGACTGAGCACACACACGTGAGGGAGAGCTTAGGGTGTGCTGATGCTCCTGGGAAAGGGCCAGGCGAGGCTCAGTCGGTTCTCAGGGCCCCCCTTTCTCTCCCCCCAGTGTTGGGGGGGCGGTGCAGGGAGGGAAGGAGTTCTGGGCTGGGAGCAGGGGCCTGGGTTCCGGTTTAGCCTTGCTCCACAGCCCAGAAGTCCCCCTGCCCCAGGGCAGCAGGCAAGCGTGCCAATTCGCATCGGGCCCAGCTGGGCTGTTGAAGAATGGGGGTAGAGGGTGGGGGGAGTGAGGCTGGACTGATTTCTGAAACTACTGGTTTAGAGAGCCAGCCCGGGTGATTTTTTTGGCTGCTTAGATGAATTTTTGGAAAAATAACAATGTTCAAAGAAACTGAGTATTAAAGAGCCAGGAGGGACCCTACCCCACTGCCTTGCCAAGACTTCAACTCGCCGACCACATCTCCAGCCAGTGGGCCTACTGCCCCCGCTCACACATCGCTCCTGACAGGAAACTCACCACTTCTAGGGACACCTGCCATCTTACGACAGCTTTGGCTTTGCAGAGACCCTTCCACCAGCAGAAGTAAGGTCTGCCGCTCTCCTTTCCTTCCTTCACTCCTTTCTTACTCTGTCCTTCTCTACACAGCTCTTGGGTGCCATTTTCGTGTCCAGTGAGGATACAGAGATGAATTCACAAGACCGTGGCCACCGAGGAGCTCACAGCACGATAGGAGAGCAGAGACACAGTCAGTGCAGAGGGCTTCCCGGAGGACGTGCTATCTGAGTTGATCCTCAAAGGATGAGCAGTTAGGGGTAAAGAAAGGCATTTCCAGGCCTGAGAAACAGCATGTGTGAAACAGCTTGTCTGTGCTGGGAAGGACAAATATGCTTCAGTCTGGCCACGCTTCATAGACTCCAGACCTTTGACTCTCAGAGCTGGTGGGGCCCTTGGAGGGAGATCAGCAGACAGGGCCATGCTGACCTGATCTAGAAAGCCCCTTGGTCATTCAGTCAGCTGTTCTGGGGGACAGGACCCAGGGCCACCAGGAACATGCTGGCTCTCAGTCCTTGATCTCCTCTGCCTGCCTCAAGGTCAAAGGTAATAGTCCTAAGCCAGGGACTTGTGATCTTAACAATGCTTTTAGAGCAACAGGGGCATTTTGTGAGGAGAGGCACATATCACATGCCGGAAAAAAATGTCAGCAGTGGTGGGTGGATTATTCCAAAGGACGTGAGTGACTGTGGATGGAATGATGGTTCCCTGGCCCAGGAAGAGAGAATTCAAACGCCCCAGCTGTGCAGATTTCTGTCCATATGCCTCTGGTCTTTGGGGGTATAAGTCAGCAAGTTCTCTACTGCTTGGGGAGACTTTGGGATGTAAGTTCCAAATCCTGGCCAGTGGGTGGTTCCTCAGGGACCAGTGGATGTGGGCTGCAGATGTCTAACTCACACTGGCTCTGGCTGTCCCGTCAGCACCTGTCTACCTGATCAGGCGGCCCATCCGTCTGCTGCCCATGTGGCTTTCTTTAAACACTTGAGTACTTGGTGGAGGGAGAGCTTGGGATCTCCCAACCACCTCAGAGGAGGGATCTGGGGGACCTGCCTGTGGTCAGGGGCCTGGACAGAATGAGCTGTAAAGTTCCTTCTAAGAACCTGGGATTGGGCTGCTTGTTGCCTCTTGATGATGAACTCCTCTAGGCCAACAAAGGCGGCTAGATTTGGCCCCAGCACAGAGCCTGGCACTGTGTGTGTTTGATAATCACACATTGCATTAATTTACCTCTTTGGCCCCATGCCTGGCACAGATCTGGGCATGCGGTCAGGTGCTTGGACTGTTTACCAAATGCTTCATCTTTAATTAACCTCGGGCTCCATCTCAATACATCTCATGCCACACTCTGCCCTTAACAGAGGGAAATCTGGCCTCTGTGTTTCTAATTCCTTTACACTTATCTCATCCAAATAGCACTCCGCGCCATCTATTTGATGTCCAACAGGCCTTCTGAGCCTGCTTTAAAAGTCAGTTAAGCCCCTTCCGGCTCAGGAATAGGAAGTCACATTTCTGCTGAGGATAAATGGACTCCAGCCTTGGCCGGGGTCAAGTTCAGTTTACAGTGTGGTACCCACGGGGCTGGCTGGACCCTATGAAGCAGAACTCAGGGCTCCTGCCAGGTCTCAAGTTCAAACATATTCATCTGGGTCAGAACTGAAGAGAATTCAGCTGCTTGCCAAGATGCCGCGGGACTTCTGACCATCCAGTGGGTTGCCCAGAATCCTACTGTCTCAGAAGGGAGGCAGCTGCCAAGCTGGGCACAAAGGCACTGATGCTAATCAGACACTACCAGGCCTGCTAGGGAAGCCCATGGTGTGGCATCGCTGAGGAGCACTGAGCTAGCTGGGGGTCAGCAGACCCGCCCGGTTGTGCAGCCTTGGGAAAGTACCTCGCCTCTCTGGGCCTTAACTTCTCACTGTTCTTTTCTGTCAAATGAGGGACCTTTCTGCTCTTGCATTCCAGGACTCTGTAACTAACGAGCTGCCAACCCCGTGAGGGCTCAGGGCTGGGACGCAGCCAACCTGGGCCCTCTGTCTTGGCTATCACCTTGGGGACAGAGGAGCCAGTCAGTTTCTCTGAGTCTCGGTGACCTGCCTGCCCCGGTTTGGCTGCTCTGTCTCTTCAGGCCCATCACAACTATCCTCCAGCCTCTCTGGTTTGGCAGGAAAGCCTCTCATTGGCTCCAGGATAAGACAAGTTGGGGCATGGGACACGTGGCAGAGCCTGCTGCCAGAGCCCTTTGGCTGGAGGGACCAACGGGGTGACTGTAGCCAAGCGGTCTCTCTGGCTGCAGTAAGAAGCGTGTGCTGGCCCATCTGGGTGAGATCTGCCTCCCTTGGAACTTTCCTCTGCAGAGAGAACCTGACAGATTATGGTCCAAGAGACAGCGTTACTTTTGAATCACACTGATCTAGGGCCAGGTGCTGGCTGGGTGACATTGAACAAGTCCCTTTATCTCATACAGGGGCTCAGTTTGCTCATCTGTGAAATGGGGACAAGCACATCTCACGAACTGGCGTGAGGATCTGTGATAAAGTGAGTGTGCAAAATGCCTGCCACACTGCAGACTTTGAACTAATGGCAGCTCTCATTACAAGTATCATTACCATGGAATTTCTAGAGGCCCTGTCTCTAAAACTGCCCTTCTATACCCACTCCTACCCTTTGGCTCAGCTCACTGCATTTGGTGATGACTTCAACAGCCTCTCCTGTACGCCAAGATGGATTAACGATACCAGCCAGAACAGAGGGGTCTAGACTCACACCCCGGATCTCCCACTTGCTTTGTGACCTTGGGCAACCACCTTCTTCTCTTTGGTGAATTTAACCATCTTAGTTTAACCATCTGTCACTTGGGGCTGGGGGGACCACCTCCCTCAGCACCAACAGCCCTTGCCCCACCCCAGTGCTTTGGTCGGAACACTTACCAAGAGTTCTGGAGGGCCAATTCACAGACACTCAGGGTTTTCAAAATAGCAGCATTCTCTTTCCTAAAGTACCTTCCCAGCCCCAGGATGCATCCAGGGGAAGGAAGGACCGTCAGCGTTCACATCTCTGGCTCCCAAGTCCAGTTTCACAAAAGCTAAGCCTGTCTGCCTGCCTCTCCCTCTGAGGACTCCATGGCGGGAGAAGCCAAACCCGCACGCTGGAGGACTCCACTGATCCAGGAGCAAGCCAGTTCAAAGCCACGGTCCCTGCAAGGTCGCAGTTGTCCTGGCAACCTGGGTCACCTCCTGGGTTGGCGATGGGGCTAGTTATTAACATCGGCCACATAAAAATAGTTTTATCAGTAGAATAAATACATTTTTCTTTTTTAATATAGACACATATTTTACAAAAGAGCCCCATAGCACTATGGGAAATTAAGATCCTTCTACAAAAAAGAAGATGTAAGTCAGGTACAATAAAGCTCTAGTGTTTTAACGGATCCCGTCTGGACTGCCCGAGAGGTGTTGAGCACCCCTGGAGGGTGGCAGGGGCAGTGGGTGCGGATGCAGACCTTCCCGTCGGTTTCTCTGGCTTCTTCCTCTGCACCGGGCAGGCATGCGGCCGAGGTCAGGAGGGTCTGAGGGTGTGCAGCAGGAAGGAGGCTACTATGCTGGCAGCAATGGCGGGGAGCAGGCCCAGGGCGGACGGGGAGCGGCCGGGCGCTGAGCTGCTGGCGGGTCTTGGCTCTTCCTGCTGCTGGAGTGGGTCGGAGAGCTGGAAGGGGGGCTTGGCGGTCCCGGAGCTCTGCGTGGTCTGCAAGGGCTGTGGGGGTGGTGAGGCTGTGCTGCTGGAGGGAGAGAGATACATGGAATGTGGAACGGCCGCTCAGGAGCCTTGTCCTGGGCTGTGATCTTAGGGTTCAGATCCAACTTTTTGTTGAATCTGGTTTTTCTTCCCTCATAAAATGGAGAAGGAAACAGAGGGCTCAGACACGGAAAGTGAGCAGCCCAGAGCCACACAGTCAGCCTCAAGTGTGACCGCTCAAGAGAACTGAGTCCCGGGCAGAAAGCAGTGAAGTGTTTGGGGGAGACCCATCTGGGGTCACACTGCAGCAAGCAGCCCTCACACCTAGGTATGCAGGGGCCCCTGGCTTCCTGCTGCCCTCCCCTCCCCAGTCTGAAGTAAATGGAAAACAAAATACACAAATAGCCGCACCATCTCACCTTCATTATCATGGCCACTGTTAACTGAGCACCTACTGGGATTCTGCACTTTACTACCAGCAGTATCTCTGGTCCTCAAAACAAATGTTCATAGGGTCTCAGCAGCCCCCTTTCACCAGATGAGGAAACTGAGGCTCCACAAGGCCAGCTCAGAGAGGGAGTGGGGTGGCGCCTCTGGGGGCAGAAGCCCTGGTGACCTCACTGCACAATCACAGCGAGTGTTGGTGAAGGTGATCCCTCATGAACTGATCAAAATAGAAGCCAGTTTGGGAGGTCACAGGTGAGGCTTTTGGCTCAAGAGAGCCCATGGGAAAGAGACATGGAAGGATAGAGACAAGAGAGTGAGATAGAGAAATAAAAAGAGGTGAAGTACAGAAGGAATTGGCGGGCCAAGGCCAGCACTTGGTGGCATTGGGAAGTGGAGGGGAGGGCGGGGGGGGTGGGCAGGACCAGGATACGGGCTCAGGTCCTGGGGAGATAGGAAATGATGAACAAAGAGAGGGGCAGAGGGCAAGGCAGGGACCGGGGAAGACACAGGACAAGGATGGAGGCATAACAAAGAAAGACCCAGGGGGAGAGGCTCCGGATGAAGGAAAGGACAGGACCCCACAGCTGATGGACCTACCCTTGCCCTGTGCAGCCCCAGGCAGGGGAAGGCAGGTGGAGACGCAGGTGGAGGATCTGACAAGCCCCATCACCCCCAGAAGGTCAAGGCTGGGAGGGAAAGGCCAGGGACACCCAGAGAGGCCCCAGTCCAGCATGGAGCCAGGATGGCCTCGCGGAAGAGGTGACAGTGTGAAGGCAGCGAGACCAGCTTGCTTATGGCTGAGGGCATCTCCAGGGGTGAGAAGAGCACTTACAAACTGAGGGCCCTGCAGTTGTGCCAGCATGCAGCTGTTGTTGTTCAGTCACCCAGTCGTGTCCGACTCTTTGCCACCCCATGGACTGCAGCACACCAGGCCTCCCTGCCCCCACCATCTCCCGAAGTTTGCCCAAGTTCATGTCCATTGCATCAGTGATGCCATCCAGCCATCTCATCCTCTGACGCCCTCTTTTCCTCCTGCCCTCAATCTTTCCCAGCATCAGTAGGACACTGCTAATCCTCAAGACAGCACTATGAAGCAGGCAAGACTATTATCCCATTTTACTTGTGAAGAAACAGTCAAAAAGAGGATAAGCGTTCATAACTCGCTCCAGGGCCCACAGCAGGGACAGGATCTGAACTGGGCACCCAGTGGGTGCTCACCAGCAGCTGACAGCTCAGCAGGGAGCCTGCCCCTCTCTGTCTGTCTACAGGACAGGAAGCCTCCTCTCTGTAGAACACTGCCCGCTTTCCAGTGCTTACCCCTCTCTCTGATGGGCCGCTCACGCCCCAGGTCAGCCAGGAGTCCCTGTGGCATCTTGGCTGTGTTCGCACGTGCTGGGCATGAGACCCCAATCACTGGCCACATCACTGTGGTGAGCCCTGTAACCATCACTGCTGCAGCCCAGCCTCATCTCTGTCCCAGCTGGACCCTCTCACCCACCCTGGCTTAGCCCCGGTGGGGGGTGGGGGGTGGGCAGAGGAGCCCAGGGGTTACAAGCACAGCCTTGCCTGTACATGGATTGGGACCTCTGATCAGTGTTTGTGTGTACTCGGCAGAGAAGGGGCTTGTCACTCCCTGCCCTGACCCTCCGTCTCTGCCCTACTCCCAGTCATGCTGTGGCCGCAGGAACCCACCACATCTTTGCATGAGGTTCTTCTCACCCTGGACTCTACAGCTGTGACCTATGTGTTCCTCTATCTTTAGAAATTCCCTGAGAACTAATCAGGAGAGGAGGGTGCAAATGCCTGTTATGCACCATGGATGGCAGGAAGGTGTTTCTGGGCAGAGACTGTGTGGGTGGCACAAGAAAGGGGGGGCAGACAGCTCTGAATGCTCCTTATGACCCTCCCGCCCCCCGCCAAGTCTGGCCTCTCCTGCCTCCCACCCCGTGCCAGCCTCCAGAGCACCTGAGACCTCTCACATGATTTGGTGTGGGCTGACCTCACCGTCCCAGGCTCTCTCAGGAACACTACCCTCCCCAGTCACATCTAATGTCACTGCCATTTTCTGACTTACCTTTATAGGCCTGATTCAATATCCCCTCACCTGGAGATCTGTTTGACATGTCCTCCAAGCCCCAAGACCCCTGGAAGAGTTGAAGCTCCTATGAAGCCTTTCATATTTCTCACTATCCACACTGCCATTGGGACCTATTTCTGCACATGAGGCTTGAGGGGGTTTTGTACAGGAGGCATTATGTACAAAAAATGCCTGGTGCACTGGGACTGGCATTGGCTGTTTTTAGCATGATTATTACGTTTGTGTCTTCATCTCTCTCACTAATAGCGTCCTCCCTGTATGGAGCACTTCCTGGATGCTGGCAGACCCTGTGCTCAATGCTATACACGTGTCATCTCATTATTCCCACTTCCAAGATGGGGAAACTGAGCCTGAAGATGTGCAATGGGCTGTCTGCCTCCCCAGCCTCAGGTGGACTGAGGTGCCATCCCTAACTGGGGAGATGGAGAGCCCGGGAGTGAAGCTTCCTGTCGAGACCTCACACACCTGCGGGTGGAGGCTTGCCAGGGTCAGAGAGGACGCCCCCTGTGGTCTCAGCCCTGGGAGGGGATCTTGCCCATACCCAGCAGGGCCACTACCACAGCCCCTTCCCTCCCTTTCTTTTCTAGGGAAAAGGCCCTCCCAGCTGCTGCCCTATCTTTTCAGCTCAAGCAGCCAGGAAGGCTGGCCTCAGAAGGGAGGCTGGGCTGTCACCTGGGATGCCCAGAATAGGAACCAAGGCTGGCTGCAGCCAGCCCCCCTGGAAGAAGGCAGCCAAGTAGAGATCTTGAAAACTATGTCTCACAACGTGCCCAAAGGCATTTGCTTTCACACTTTGAAAACCAAAGATGCAAGCTCCCCCTTGGAGCCTGAGTAGGGGTTTTATATGTTTGGAAGGAGTCCCAGGGAAATGGAGTGAGGTTGCTGGGGGGGGAGGGGGTGGTGGTCGCGGTGGACAGAAATCCTCTCCAGATGCCCCCACTTCTTGGGCCCCCTCTGCTCACAAAGCCCAGGCCCCAGTCCAGATCCCAGCCCTGCCCCAGGCCCATGCTGGGGAAAATCGTCTCATGGCAAAGCGGCCTCGAAGCCAAACCAAACACCCCGAGTGTTCCCAGGCTTTGCAGACGGCTGGCTCCAAGGGCTGGGTGTGCTCGGAGCTGACAGGGACCCTGGTGTGGGCAAGGGCCCGAGGTCCCTGTTCCCTGCATGACTTTGGGCAAGTCCGGCCCTCGAGGCTTTAGTTCCCCTGTGTACAATGAAGGAGCAGAAACAGACCCTTGGCTCTAAAGTGTTATTGAGCAGCAGAAGCCAGAAGTGGGATCACAGGCAGAAGCTGAAGGTATAATGCACAGGAACGCAGGGCTGGTGGCTGAGATGGGGCAGCTGGCTTCCCTGAGGCCCCACTGCGGGGCTTCCTGGAGGAGGGCCCCATCCCGGCACTAGAGGGTCCCTAAGAACCACCCAGGACTGGGTCTGGGGAGCCTTGGGGCTGTGGCTTTCTTGCAGTACAAGCCTGTGGGCTCCGCAGAGGGCTCCAAGGAGACCCAGTGGAGATGGAGCTGGAGGCATGAGGGCCTGGCTGATGGGTGGCTCTGCTGGCTTGGTGTGGCCCTCGCGAAGTGGTCAGGCTGGAACCATCTGGGCAGACCGGGCAGATGCAGGCAGAGATCTAAAGTGACTGGCATGCCCACAGCTCCCTGTCCTGATATCTAAGGCCCACACCAGCCTCCAGGCCGTTGGCCACATGGTCTTCTCTGTCAGGACTGCCTTCACTTCCTCTCAGCTTCCCTGGGTCGCTTCACCCCTCAGGGTCCCCTCACTGGACCTTCCTCCCCTCATTGGCTGGATTCCCTGCCGGGCACAGGCAGACGGCCGTGGCTCCAGGGCTCTTTCAGCTGCACCGTAGCTGGGAGCGGCCCCTGCCTGGCCGTGGCCCAAGGCCCTTCCTGCTCTAGTCCCCATCAGCGCTGGACGTGGGCTGGGCACCCTGCGTGTGGCCATCAGGCTCTTGTTTAACTGCGTGCTGTTCACCCAGGGGCTCATTTAAGCCTGAGCTGCGCTAACAGCCCAGGAGCCGTCTCCTGCTGGGGGACGGGGTGAATGGCACCCTAGACCCGACTCTGAGAGTCAGCCACCAACGGGGGGACAGCTGTTCCTGAGTGCCACCAGCGGCCTGATGCCAGCTCACCACTTTACAAGCACCATCTTCTCTAAGCCTCAGACCAAGGCCAAGGAGGGGCTGGGGATGCTGCCCAAATTCATCTGAGCTCCCATCCACTGAGTAATCTTATTCTCTGATCAGATGGGGTCCTGGCGTCATGAAGACACGCTGAGCACCCTGTCTAGTCCTGGGAGACAGCCTGGTTGTGCTGTGAGAAAGCTGAGCTGGAGAACCTCAGGGCAGGCTGGCAGGCCAGCAGGAAGTGTGCAGAGCCCTCCCAGGGGCCCAGGGCGAGAGGAGGTTCTCTCCTCCTCTGCGGGGCCTTGGGCCATCTGCTCAAACCTTGGGGGAAACCGAGGCCCAGGAGGCTAATGACCCCCTGCTTATGTGTGTCCAGCACCCCCACCCCTGTGTGGTGGCACCCACACGGTTCTGTGTCCACCACATACAGCGCCCACCTCTGTGCTTGGCTTCCGGCCACGCCCAGGGCTTGGGAAATGCTCTCTCTCCTGCACCTGCTCCCTCATGCCTGTCCCAGCGCCATGCTCCCTCATTCATCCAAGTCGCCTGCTCCCTCATGCCTGTCCCAGTGCCCTGCTCCCTCATTCCGCCCCCCGACAATGTCCGAGCACACAAGCAGCCCAGCAGTGGACTGGGGAACAGCAGAGCTGGTGTGACCTACAGAGGACAGCCAAGGCACTGACTGTGCAAAAGGAGAGACCGAGGACTGTCCCAGATCTGACCGACCGGGCAGTGGCCCACACAGAGCCTGCGTGGGACTCGACTCCGCTCTGACCTGCCCCCTGCTGGTCGTGCCACGGCCCTGTTGCCCCGCCATCCGGCTGTCAGACGCAGGGGGTTCCCTGACACGCTCCACCAAGGCTGCTCAACCATCTGCGGACGTGTGCCCCACCCCTTCCTCGGGTCCCCATAAATCATCCTGCCACGGGCTGCCGCTTCTCTAAACTTCCTTCGGGGTGTTTACATCTGGGGTAATGAGGGGTGAGGGGAGGCCAGCCTGCTCCAGGTGGCGTCCTGTCGGGCTCTTCGGCCCCCTCTCCACTCTCTCGCTGCTTCTCTGACTCATGCATGCAGTCAACAAACGCTCCGCGAGGCCTCTGGTGACTTGAAGTCCAACCCAGCTCTGGTCCCCAGGGCCTCCCAGCCCAGACAAGTGAGGAACTGCTGTCTGTGTGAGAGCATGCCAGGACAGGGGCACCCATGAGGCACCCATGGTCGGTGTGGGTGGGGTGAGGAGGGGGCTGTGGGAGCTGGGGGCAGGGGGAAGCACCGGGAACAAGATGTGTGGAGGAAGGGGAGGAGGAGGGGGACGCTTGCCAGGCGAAGACAGCAGGGGCGTCTGCACAGTGCTGGAAGATTGTGACTCTCAGCATCTGACAGACCTGGCTGCAGCTTCTGACTCCCTCCCTGACTTGAATCCTGAATATTCATTGGAAGGGCTGAAGCTCCAATACTTGGCCACTTGATGCGAAGAGTAAGACCCTGATGCTGGGAAAGATTGAAGGCAGGAGGAGAAGGGGATGACAGAGGACCAGATGGTTGGATGGCATCACTGACTCAATGGACATCAGTTTGAGCAAGCTCCGGGAGATGGAGAAGGATAGGGAAGCCTGGCATGCTGCAGTCCATGGGGTTGCAAAGAGTTGGACATGATTGAGCGACTTAACAACAACAACAACCTGATTTGACACACGGTCTTGGGCAAATTACCTGACCTCACTGAGTCTCAGTTTCCTCTTTAGTCAAGCAAAGCTGACTTCTGGGACTCTACAGGACTGGGGGTTGTGATGGATGTAAGTGGCTGGAGCTCCTGGAGCTCAGCAAATGTCCACTCGTACCCATTCCCCCCTCAGAGGGAGAAGCAAGGACAAAGGTGGGGGTGGGCCATGCACAGTCCGCTGGGGGGCAGCACACAGCTCAGCCAGGACAGGGCCCCAGGGGTCCCATGGGAGGAGGGCAAAAGCTCTACATCCAAGTGTACCCGGTGAGGGGTGGGGCGGCGAGGGAAAGCACAGAGAATCTCAGACCGAGGAGGGCGCTGTGCTGGGGCGTGACTGGGGCTGGAGACCCAGGAGGACCCCGCTTCAGGATCATGGGTGGAAGATGAGGTCAGGGAGTGGGAATGGAGAGCAGAGGACGGAGCCAGTGGGGTTGACAACTGTTTTGTGCTCAGTCGTGTCTGACTGTGCGACCCCATGCACTGTAGCCCGCCAGGCTCCTCTATCCGTGGAATTCTCCAGGCAAGACTGGAGTGGGTTGCCATGCCCTCCTCCAGGGGATCTTCCCAACCCAGGGATCGAACCTGGGTCTCCTGCATTGCAGGCAGAGGGGGAAGCCAATTGAGAAAACCCTGAATGGAATGAACACTCCAAGGAAAACAGTATTGTCAGAAGGGCTGCAATGGACTCCAGTCCCCTCCAGAGAGCTCTCCTCTGCTCCCTCTTGGAGAATGGGAAACTTGGGAACTCTACGAGGATGAGTGGGGTGAGGCCTGGGAGTGACGGAAGCGGGGCCCTTGCACTAGGTTCTTGGGGACCTCAGAGCTGGCTTCCCCATGAAGCAGAGAAACTTGCAACAAACAGGCTGCCGGTTGGTAGAACTCTCCTCTAATCCAACCAGATGGAAGAAAGTTATCCAACCACAGCTTATCTATTGGGACTGAGAAGGGATCCCTCTAGTCAAAGAAAAAGCTGTTTTCTTCTCCTGAAACCAGGCTCTGTATTCCAGAGAGACATTTTGTGAAAAGGAAACCGTTTGGAGTCATTTGCTGAAATTTACCTTTCAGACATGGTTAGGAGCTGGGGGTCTGTGGCTGGAGTTGACAGCCCAGCCTCCCTGCCATCACCCCAAGGGCCAGACCCACTGCTGGCCACGTCTGGTCACCTGGCAGGTTGATTGGGGCCCTGGGTGAATGGCCTGACTGGGGGGTTTCATGGGCTGCCAGCCTCTCCCTGGTGGCCTGCGAGCCCTCCCCAGGGCTGAGGAGCGGCTCTTGGTAATGCTGTGTCCTTGTTCCTGCTTTGAAAGAGGCAGACCACGCTGGGCACAGGAGCCAAATGTGTCGATGCCAATATAGCTACAGCAGTGACCCCGCCTTGGGCAGGGCAGGCCCATGGGACCCCTGAAGAAGCGTGTTTCTCAGTAACCCAAGGCAGGCGCTCTGAAGCCAATGGAGGCCCAAATGAGCAATGGACTCGACTCTCACTGGCTGGAAGGCTCTTTAAGACACTGCACAGGCCGCACACTAAGGCTGTGGACTGGACTATGTCAGCTTTTTGTCTATGACTCAGAGACCTGGCTGAGGGAGGATCTTGAAGGGAATTCCTGTGTGACCCTGGACAAGCCCCCATCCCAGGCCTTGGTTCACCATCGGTAAACTCAGAGTTGGATCCACATTTCCCAAAGCTGCTCAGAAGACTCTAGCGCACGTTCAACAAGCAGCTTTCCCAGTCCCGATGCAACATGTCCCCATATATCAGGTCCACGATGGGGTCTGGGATATCATTTAACAAGAACCCATGGAAATTCTATCTAGGGATGCTGAGGAAAACCCAAGATAATGATCTTTTGGGTCCAGGTGGAGACTCTGAGTCTCCAAGGGCCAGGTGCTGGGCACCAGTGCTGGGCTACCGCAGTGGGCAGGACTCTCCCCGGCAGTCACTCCCTGGGACATCCTGGCTGCTCTGGTGACACTGTTCACCAGATGTGGAGATTTCCGCCCCAAAGTGGAATCTAGGGAGACCACTCAGTACTGAGCCTGCTGGTGGAAGTTGGAAGGCAGCATCTTGGTTACAGCAGGAGCTGTGAGGACAGACAGGCATGGTGCAGGGAGACATGGCAGAGGACAGAGAAGAATCAGTACAGTAGGACGATTGCAGTACCCGCCAATCCTGAAAGTTATCACAAAGCCCTCAGCCCCTCCTGAGAAGGAGCCCACAGCCATCACCTGCCATCTCTCTGACCCACTGCAGAGGTGTTGGCTGCTCAGACCATCCAGGTCTAGAGAGCTCAGAGCCTTCTGATGTAACCAGCCTGTTCCATTTTCTTCTACTTTCCCTTCTGGCCCATGGGACAAATGGGGTCTGCTGTGCACCCCAGGTGCCTCCAGGAAAGCTAAGGGCAAAGCAGAGTTTTGTCCACTACACCTGAAGGGAGCTTCTATTTGCTCACCTTTAACTATGGGAAACTGAAAAGTCAGGTGTGAGCATGCTCCACAAACCCTGCAGGATGAACAGGGCCAAGACTGTTGCAATCCAGCACCCACCTGCCCCGCTTCCTTAGAGCCAGACTTGTGGATAACAGAGTGTGTCTGACCCTGGGGGGGTCTGAGGCAGGCTGGCGAGAGAGAGGCCCCGCTCCCAGCAGACCTGCCCTCCCAGCTCACCTGTCCTCGATGCGCACCCAGAGGTCATTGAACTGCCGCGGGCGCTGGTGTTTGTTCTGCCTCTTGTGCCACTTCTTCTGCCGCCCAAACTCCTCCAGCTGGCTGAGGCTGTCGGGGAGTAGCAGGTGTGGGGACAGCGCTGGGTCCTCCTCCTCTGGCGGGGCGGTGGGGGGTGCCGAGGGGGCCGCGGGCACGGCAGCAGCTGGGGTCACTGGCGCGGGGCTTGCCGAGGTCCCCTCGGGTGGAGGTGCGGGGCTCCCGGCGACAGGGCTAGAAAGGGGCAATGGCAGGTGAGGCACGCGCATTGGAGCATGTCATTCATGGGTGACAGGGCACGCAATGCAGTGGGTGGGTTGTCATGGCAGAAGGTGCCAGGGTGCCCCGCTGAGAGTCACCCGGGAAAACCATCGCCTGGTGTTAAGAGAGAGAGCTTTGATTCCTTCTCTCATTTTTATTCATTCAATGTGTGAAAGTGAAAGTCGCTCAGTTGTGTCCGACTCTTTGCAACCCCATGGACTATACAGTCCATGGAATTCTCCAGGCCAGAGTCCTGGAGTGGGTAGCCTTTTCCTTCTCCAGGGGATCTTCCCAACCCAGGGATCGAACTCAGGTCTCCGGCATTGCAGGCAGATTCTTTACCAGTTGAGCCACAAGGGAAGCCCAATATTGATTCAATAAATATTTATTAAGCATCTATCCTGCACCAGGAACTTTCTGGGCAGTGAGTGTCAGTAGTGACCAAAATAGGCAAAGGTCCTGCCTTCTTAGCACTAATATTTCAAAGTGGGAGACAGAGAGGAAAACGTGCATGTGATGTCAGATGGTGGTAATTGCTGAGGAGAAAAATAAAGCAGAGTCAGGAGGGACAGCATGGGCCATGGGGAGGGGCTGGCAGGGAGGACAATTTGGTCCCTGTTGGTGACATTTGAGCCCAGACTAGTAGGAGTGAGCCCTGAGTGGGCATCTGGTTCTGCATCTGATCTTGGTCAAGGTCTTGTTCATTCAACAAGCTCTGGCTGAGGGGCTTGAGGCGAGTTACCTAACTGTAATGTGCTGCACCTCAGTCTCCTGCTCTGGAAAATGGGGATATTACAGCCAGTGCCTCATAGCCACATCACAATGATTTTGTGAACCAACAAAGGCAAAGCACTCAGAAATGGTGCCCGGCAAATAGCAGCTGAAACATTCTAGTAATTAACATCCTTAAATATGAAATATTAACATTGTTGCTGTGTCAACATACGTCTAACGCGCGTCCAACACGTCTAACACGTGTCTCCTGAGCACCTTTTCAGGGGAGGCAGGACAGCTTATAGCAGGTTAGAGCGCAAGCTGTCCTGAGCTCTTAACGTGGGTTCCCTCCCCGGCTCTGCACCTTCCAGGCTGTGTGGCTAAGGGCAGGGACACAAGCGTCCAAGCAGCTGCTGGCTATAAGCGGGAGTTAGTACTACTCACTTCATAGGGTTGTCACGAGGATGAGAGAGATGAGGTCTTAACACAGTGCCTGGCACAGATCGGGCCTCTCTTTAGTGTCTCCCACAAGGGAATGGAACTGGCCGCAGCAGGCTCCGACAGGCAGTGAAGCGTGTAAGTGGAATCCATATTCCATGCAGTGGTGCACAGACACTCTTCAGCCTGGAAACACCCTCCACTCCTCTCCCTTTTATTCTTTCACACAGAATTCCTGCTGGGGACATCTGACCGTGGGGAATGTTGGGCATGGTCCCAAGAATTGTAAAGGCGAGGTGGCGCCCAAGGGAGTCTGTCCCCCGACTCCATTCCCCGCATGCATGAAAGGGGTGAGGGATTTCTCCCTCCTTGAAGGACAGAAGGCCATCAGCTCAGCCTGTCCTCCCCCAGCCCCCACGGCAACCCCAGATTCCCAGGGTCCAGGAGATGCCGCAGCTGCTGGGGAGATAATTCAAAACAGGCAGACAAAAAGATGGATCCAGGAAGCACCTGTGGCCAATGATGGCTTTTATTGTTGGGGCCTCCTCGGCATCCCCGCCCCCTCACCCCACCCGCAGGATTTCAGCAGAGACTCAGGTTGAGAGCGGGCCAGGGTCCATGGGGGCATCCCCCGACTACTGCCTGGGCTCTGAGATGAATAGGAGCTGAGGCAGCATTGCTCAGCTTCCCGCACCCCCTGCCCTGTTGGGACAGACACAATGAGCTTTGAGGCGAAGGTCCTTAGGGCCTGTGGGGAGGGGGAGCTTGAGGAAGGCCTTGTCCCCGAGGCTACCTTGGGTCCCTTACCCTTCAAGCACATGCCTGCCCTTGACCCAGTACAGACTGATTTGTGCTGGGCTCAAATAGTCAGGAAGCAATCTGGTCAGGCTGACTCAGAAGATAGAAGGGGGAGGAGTCCAAGGTTTGTAAGTTCCTCCAGAAGTGCCATGGAGACAGGAGGGCATTGGCCTGGAGCTGGGAGACCAGATGTTCCAGGCTCCAGGCCCATCGTTGCAGAGTGAAGAGCAAGGCCACAGTCATTTCCGAGTACCTCCCACTCTTGAGCCCCACCCCAAGCCCTTGAGGGAGTAAGGGTTGTGGTGAAGACCTCAGGAAGGCCCTAGAGCCAGATTCCCATTGAAAGGAGGTCTGTGTCCTTCTGAAAGTGGCTTCACCTCTCTGGGCCTCAGGTGCCTCAATTTTAAGGTGGGGATACTCATTGTTCCTGCCTCATGGGTTTGTCATTAGGATTTGATAAGCTAAAAGCACTTAGAACTCAGTACACAGTGAGTAGTCAATAAACATTAGCAATGATTATTCAGGGCTTCCCAGGTGGCACTAGTGGTAAAGAACCTAACTGCCAATGCAGGACATGTAAGAGATGTGGGTTCGATCCTTAGGTTGGGAAGATCCCCTAGAGGAGGACATGGCAACCCACTCCAGTATTCTTGCCTGGAGAATCCCATGGACAGAGGAGCCTGGCAGGCTACAGTCCATGGGGTCGCAGAGAGTCGGACATGACTGAAGCAACTTAGGAGGCATGCACACATGACTATTCAAGCTTCTTTTGGACTCTGGATGCATCACAGAAAAGGGCCTAAATCGCTCTGGCCATTGCTATGAGGAAGGCTCCTGCTCAGGTTGGCCTGGTTTGGGATTCTGTCATTGTCTTCCAGGGCCGCCCAGCATGCGCTGACACCTCTCTGTGCCCAGCCTGGTGCTGGCACTGTGGACCACAGGTAAACCCAGCTGACCTCTTCCCGTAGTCAGCTTCCAGCTTAGAGGGAGACAGGAAACCCCCACAGGAAGAAAGGATGGCCTCTATCTGGCTCTTTGGGCTGAGTAAGTATGCCCTGGCAGGAAAGTCAGGGGTGAGAGACCCAGCCAAGAAGACAGCAACAAGCAGGGATAGTCAGAGGAGGTGGTGAAGACAAGGTTTGGGTGGGGCTGAGACTCAGGGAAGAGGCCTGGCCACTGCGTGTTGTCACTATGGCCCCATCTCGATTCAAGGCCAGGGCATCCACCAGGTCTTCTAGGCAGCAGCCCAGAACTCCTACAGAGTCCCTGTACCCCACCCATCACCAGTCTCTAAATCTTGAAAGAAAGAAAGAAAAGAAAGTGAAGTCGCTCAGTCGTGTCTGACTCTTTGTGACCCCATGGACTGTAGCCTACCAGGCTCCTCCATCCATGGGATTTTCCAGACAAGAATACTGGAGTGGGTTGCCATTTCCTTCTCCAGGAGATCTTCCTGACCCAGGGATTGAACACGGGTCTCCCGCAGTGTAGGCAGAGGCTTTACCGTCTGAGTCACCTAAATCTTGAACATCTCTCAAAAACTGCTCCACCCATTCCCACCTCCACTCTTCCCCGCTGTCCTGACCTCCTGCCAGGATTACACACTAGCCTCCTTCCCGGTCTCCCCACCTCCAGCCTAGCCCCCACTCTTGGGTGCCTGGTGAAGGCCGGTCCCTAGGAGGCCCCCAAGGCTTCATCATGACTCTGCCCTGCAGGCCTAAGCAGGAAGGCAGGGTAAAACTCTCCGTGCAGCATGCGGTCAGGCATGGCCTGTGGACCAGTAGCAGTGGGCCAGCCAGTCCCCCGCCCCCCAGAGGCCCTGGTTGCTTACCTATGGATGGTCTGCCCCGCGGGTGTGTGCTCCACCTCCAGCCCTGCCTGCCGAAGGACATCGATGACTGTGTTGTTCCCCAGAAAGTGACCTGGAACACAAGAGACAAAGTGGGCTCAGCCACATACCAGGTCACTGGTGATTGGAGAGAGCCTCAGGCCGACGACCTAGGCCAAAGTTAAGGGCCAGACTCCCTGAAAGGCAGTGTGATGTAGCTGGAAGATGGGCCAGTGCCACCCTGCCTGGATCCAAACCCCGGCTCTGTCGCTCATCAATTGTACCTCCCCGTGCCTCAGTTTTCCCATCTGTAAAGTGGTAACGATTGTACTAGCAGCCTCGAGGGTTGTTGTAAGGACTCCAGGAACACTGGCTGGCATGCAGTAAAGGCTCACCGTGTTTCCTGTTGCATCACTGTCCTCCAGACCATTGAGCTGACCCCAGCCGTGGGCTGTCCAGGCAGGGACAGCTTCCAGGAGTCACACAAGGATCAGCTCTGAGAAAACCTCCTCCAATAGGCCTCAAGGTCCAACAGGTTTATGGCTCATCTTTGTCAGTTCCACCAGCAACTCGAGTCTCCCTCCCTAGCAGGGAAACGGAGGCAGGGTTCTGGGTGTACACGTCTGTTTCCTCACTAGACTGGCAGGAACCACATGGCCACTGCCCCACACATGCTTACTACACGTTGTCTGGATCTACGACTTTGAAGATTCATTTGTTCACTATCTACTCAGTATTTATGGACCACACACTATGACCCAGGCCCTAAAGTGGTCCCTGAAGACTCACTTAAGTGTAAGATTCTGGGGAAGGAGAAAGTAGTAGGATTCTGTGTGTTGGGAGACAGACTTCCCAGGTGGCACTAGTGGTAAGTAACCTACCTGACAACACAGGAGACAGGAGAGACACGGGTTCAACCCCTGGGTCAGAAAGATTCCCTTGAGGAAGGCATGGCAACCCACTCCAGTACTCTCGCCTGGAGAATTCCAAGGACAGAGGAGCCCGGAGGGCTATGGTCCATAAGGTCTCAAAGAGTCAGACATGACTGAGGCGACTTAGCACGCACTCATGTGTGTTGGAAGGGGAGGGGACCGGTCTCGGTCTCACCCTCCACCCACTAACCATTTATCCAACAGACTTTTAGGACACACTTGCTGTGACCAGCCCCAGAGCAGACACTGAAACACAGAAGTGAATCATTTGATCCACTGCCCCAGACGAGACCAGGTTTGGCCCTCGGGCGGGATGCAGGTTTGAGATCTGGGAATACGGTGGAGGCTCTCCCAGGTTCCAGTTAGGGAGACTCCTCGAGAGGGCAGTCCCTGCTGGGAGTTGGCTCCCAGGCTGGCCCCTCCTCCATGCTGGACCTCAATCTCCCCACTGTTCAACGTAGGCAGAGTGGTGGTGGGCCCTGCACCCTCCCAGCCCGAGTCCTGCCTGCAGCCCCACACCCGTGGGCACTTCGCTCCTCTCCTGCTCACCATTCACCCCAGAACCTGAGGGGAAATTCTTGTACTATCACTCTAATTGCCTGTGATGGATGGTGACAGGTGGGAAGCTGGGAGGTCAGCATGTTGACAGCCCCAGGGAGATCTAGGGAGCAAGGACAGGAGGTGGACAGGCTGCTGGGGAACAGAGGCAGGGAGGTTGGGACTGCACAGTAGCTGGATGCGGGAGTGGGGCGGTGAACCCGGGAGCACCCCTGCCAGCCAGGCCTATACACCTCTGGGCTGGCTTCACGATGCCCCAGCAAGTCCCCCACCTAACAGTCTCCCTTTTGGTGACCTGCCACAGTCCCTGACACCCCACCTCTGGGTCACTGTGAACCACAGGTCTGGGAACAAGAGTCTTTGATGGAACCCCCCACACTCACTCTGGGGCCCTGGGCACCCGGGCACTCTCGGAGTCTCTGTGGACAGGGAGGGACTGGGCTGTACCACAGGCTCCCCTGGCCCACGTTCATGGGAAGGCGTTTGTTTGACCTCAGAGACCCTTAGGAAATTGTGCTCTCCCTCCCTGCTTTTCTGTGCTTGTTCACTGTGTTTATCTGAAGAACACGGACTGAGTGCATATCCAGAGCTGGATGGTGGTGAACAGGTAGGGACCTGTTCAAAGCACTCACAGGCTTGAGAATCAAGGTCTTTTGATCTGGGGTATGCACGATGCTAAGGGAAGCACAGGAGGTGGTGAGGGCGCCCAGGACGCCTCTAATTCAACCTGGGGGCAGGGTGGACTTCCTGGAGGAGGCATCGCTAGCTGAGGGATGGGATCAGAGTTAGCTAGGTGAGGATGAGAGTGGGGCAGCGGTGGGATGTTCCAGGCAGGGGTAAGGGCATGTGCAAAGAGGAGGTCAGTGAGGCTCGTCTGACTCAGTGTTAGAGACGGTGGAACACAGAGGATTCTGCCAAGGCTGTGAGTCTCCCATATGCGATCCCAAGCAATCGGCTGCCACCTGCCACCTGCCTCAGTTTCCCTGTATGTCAGATGGACCTGGATCCCGGTGGTTGCCTTCTCAGGGAGGCTATAATAAAGTCCTAAGAGGCAGGAGGAGTGACCATCCTTTGGAAAAGCCCAGCATGCACCTTTGAGCAGACTGAGCCAGCCCTGGGCTGGGGTCTGGTGAGTCCTGGTGAGTTGACCCACCCTTGCCTGCCCCTGAGCGTGATTGGGCTGGAGGGGCACTGGGTGTGGCAGCCTCCAGAGCACAGGCTTCAGGAACTCCCTACCCGCAGCTCTTGGAATGCATTCCTGGCAGCAAAGGCCATTCCTTCCCTGTGTCCATGGAGACCCGTTTAAAGACAGGGGCCTCTGGGCCCAGCAGTGGTCCACACAGAGACATCAAGAGCCACAGGGAAAACAGGGTACCCCAGGCTGCATTGAAGCAGATGGCCGTGTGGCCGCTCTGAAAGGAGCATTCCTGGAGCTGGCGGAGGGGGCATTCAGAGGGGCCCAAGCCTGACGGGACACTGGCTGGGTCCTGAGCACTGCCTGGCAACATTTCAGTGTCTGGTCTGCATCCTGTCTGCTCCCTCATCCTCAGGAGTTCCAGACCCTTACTGTGCCTGGTAAGACCCCAAACAGAAGACTTCAGATACTTCGAGAAGTAGGAAGCGATCAACAATGATTTTTTTTTTCCAAATTCCTGTAAGCTACACGGGCCTTCACCTCCTTCCCTCCAGGGCGGGGGGGAGGGGGGGGGGGGCTGCCTGCCCTCTGCAAGGGGCAGCTCCTGCAGAAGGCCCCGCTCCTATGGGGTTCCTGCCCCAGGACTGTCCAGCAGAAGCCCTCATTCCGACCCCAGGTTCCCATTGCTACTCCCTTCCTCTCCCTCTTTGAGGCCTGGTGTCACAGGACACCACAGCACAGTTCTATCCTGTCCTGTTTTCTCCATAGCTCTCACCGCTCCCTCCCTTAGTGGGTCCCTCTTTCCCTTGCCTGATAAATGTGGGTGTCCCTGTGAACCTCGTCCATGGCCTTCTTTTCTTCTCGCTCTATTCACAGTCCAGGGAATGTGAATCCATCCATTCACATGGTTTCAGTGACCGAAGTTTGGTCACTGAAATGTCACTGACCACAGCTGCTATTCAGGACCCGCTGTCCTAGCCCAGACCCATTTGTCCAGTGGCCTCCTGAGCATCTCCCACCCAACATCCCCCAGAGCCTCACCCTCCCCGCCTGGGTGTGTCTCAGCTGAGCTCAGCTACCCTTGTCAGATGGACCCATCTTTGTTCTTCCTTCTCTATCATCCCATCCCATCAGTTTCCAGAGTTCCCCAAATTTTCCCTCTGAACCATGCTCAACCCTGGCCCAGGTCACCACCACCTTCTGTCTGAATCACTGCATGTAGCATCCTCCCCACTCTCTCCAGTTCACTCTCTTCGCCATGGCTGGAATGAGCTCCCCACAGAACAGGTTCCCAACAAGCCACTGGAGTGGAGACCAAGAGCTTTTAGAAGGCAAGGGACCATGCCCGATCTATCGTTGTCCCCAAGGCTAAGATCAAATCTGGCACATGGTGGTGGCTTCATGAATGTTTGCTGAATGAATGAATAACAGGATCTGTTAGTCCATATCCCTTCCATGATCTCATCTTCTCCCCAGGAGACCTGAGCTCAAGGATCCCCTCCCCTTGTAGCCCTGGCCCGATCCCTTGGTGATGCTCCCCGCAGATTCCGTCAATCCTGGGAGCTTGGCCCTCAGAAAAGCCCCAGTCAGGGCCCAGGGCACGCTGTCCCCAGGGGTTGGCAGACAGGGTTTGGGCTTGCCTCCAAGGTCACAAATCCTGAAAGAGGCACCACACCCATCCTGGAACCTGCAGGGAAGGTGTGGAAAGTTTCCAAAGGGCCCCTCGGTGTCGGAACTTAGCCTGCTCAGCTTGCCCAGGCTCCCGGGGTCTCCTGGCCACCGCTCCACAGCTCCTCCCAGCACTGACAGCTGCTCCTGGCCAGCTCTCTGCAGGAAGGCACATCCCATTTCATTTACTGAGGCTGCGTGGAGCAGGAGAGGAGGGCGGAGAGGGGGTGGGGCGCACAGAGCCACCGGGACAGAGGAAGGGAGAAGGATACACGGAGACAGGCCAAGAGAGGAGAGACTCGAGACAGACCGGGACGGGGGAGAGCTCCAGAACACAAGGAGACAGAGAGAAGAAGAGACGAGGTGACGGGATGGGATGCAGGCTACAATCGAGAGCCAGAGACCCCGAGACAACAGTAGGGAGAGAAGGAAAAGCAGAGATGCCGTGACAGCGAGAAAGAGAGACAAAGAGGGACAGGAGAGAAGGGAGAAAGAGATGAGAGGAAAAGGAGAATCCAGCAATGAAAACAAAGGGCATGGAGGAGAGACTGATACACTGGAGCATCAGGGAAGACTTCCTGGAGGAGGAGCCCAGGATGGGGAGGATTCAAACAGATATATGGGCTTGGTCAAGGGGGACAGGCAAGAGAAGGAACAAGGGCCTGGAGGAGGCTTAGAGATTTGACAGATGGTGGGCTGGTTTGGTGGTTGTGTCCCCTGACCCCACAAGCCAGAGCGCCACTTAAAAGACGTCATATACAGTCAGGAAAGGGGTCTGGCTCTGAGCAGGCAGAGTCCCAT